GCTGCTGGTAATTATCTAATTGCTTGTATGCTGGCATCCTTGAGTTGTGGTACATTTGATCTACTATCCTAATGATCAATCCCTGAGCACCGAGAGGTGACACTTCTTCTCCACTCCCAGGGATTTGGAGCCCACACAAATCATTAACCAAAGAAACAGATCTACTCCTAATACAAAGAGACCAAGCATGACTTCAACTCTTCAAGCCTAGAAGTAGAGATTGGGGGGAAGGGGCAGCAGGACAGAAAAGGGGACTAATGTGGACAGGGTGTTTCCCACTGGAACAGGTTACTTTTATTATGTTAGGTTTTGAGACAGGGTCTCAATAAATTGCCTAGGCTGGCTCAAACTCAGCCTATAGCCCAGTTTGTTCTTGAATTTGCAATCCTCTTGCCTTTACTTTCCAAGTGCTAGAATTCTAAGCATGTGACACCATGCCCAGCTCTGTTATGCCATGTTATACTTTGTTTTAACACACACACAATTGGCAACAGCATTAATCAGAGAACCACTGTGTTGTCTCCCTTTTGTTGTTTCTTTGTTGGAGACAAGGTCTCCTACTATTGCCTAGGCTGGTCTGGAACTTGCCATGAACCCCAGGCTAACCTTGAACTAGCAGCAATCCTCCTGCCTCAGCCTCCTTCCCAAGTGCTAGAATTATAGACATGAGCCACTACACCCTAAATATGAGCTTCTTTTCACAAACGGAAGAACAGAGGCTTAGATGTCCAAGAGTCCAAGTCAGCAACAACCCTGCAATCAAATAGGTGCTCAGCCCCAAAGCAAGGCTTTTCTAAACAGGGTCTGTCAGCACACCGGCTAGCATATAAGTCTCCATGTGCACATCGGGTATCCCACCCCTAGTCTGGGGTCTGGTAGGCTCCATTGCTTCTGAGTTCATTGGTGGAAGCTGAACTCATTGGAGATACTTAGGAAACAGCCAGGCTGTCCCCATAGGTCAACAAATTATATCACAGTAGGAAAGGTTGAATACCACCCCACCAGGGCCGGACAGTCATGGGGCAGGCCACCACTAGCCACAGGGGCACAGCCAGGCTCAGCATCTGCCATTCAGTGTCTGGGTGACCTTGGAAAAGGAGTCTTTCTGCACAGACTCCTAGTTTACTCCCTGAGAAAAGGCAATGGCCTGGCAATGCCACAGGCTGCTCCGAGGGTTTCAGACATAAATCACCACTGGGGCAGTGCTGTTGCCTGTGCCCTCCTGGGGTTGGTGACATCTTACTCTCAGCAGCCTGCTGAGGATGACTTCAGGGCCTGCAAGAAGATGCTTGCAGAGCCAGCACCCTAGCCAGGCTTTGGGATGATGGTTCTACTCTCTTCCCTTCATGACACACCACAGGCCGCTCCACTCAGAAGAAACAAGGATGCTAGACTCTCCTCACTCCCTGGTCATAGACCTGCAGTCTTAAAGTAGCTCTACGGCTACACTGAGCTCTGCAGAGCAGAAACTCTGAGCAGAGGCAGAAGGTCCCCTCCATGAAAAGGCACATGGTGATAATGTGTGGAATATTACCAAAGAGGAAACAGAGTGAAGATGAACTGAACCAAGCACCTCCTGTGTCCTAGACTGTGTCTGTAAGCACCCAGTAGGTGCTTTCACTTCATCTTCTCCATCTTCAAGATGGGGGGCCTTCTTACTTGTTCAGGGCAAGAGAAGAATTAAGTAGCAGAGGTAGGAGCCAAACCAGTCCCATTTGTCTTGAAACTCACAGCAAGAAAAACAGAAGGTCCCATGCTGTCTCTAAGCCTTTACCTTACATGGTTTTTTAGGACAGAACAACTTGGGCTTTACTCTAAAACCATGCTGACCCCTAGGGAATATGCTTATCCACCTGGGCTAAGGAGTAAAAGTCTGAGGCTTAGAATATGGAGGCCAGAGAAAGCCAGGAGACGTTTCTGGTCTGGAATCATTTGGACTCTAATTCTCTCATTTCCAGCCAGCTCTCTGGCATTTCTGTAAAATGTCCTATCTGTGGTAGGAGGATGGTGAGGACAAGGGAGAGAAACAGGCTGGCCACTGAGGCACATTCTGGCTCAGAGTTTTTGCTGTGTGCTGGAGGGGGGGCTATGAGATGATGCTGAGATGGTTCAGTGTCCCCAGAATGCTTAGCAAATAATTCACTTGGTTTTTGCCAAGCTAGAAACAGCCACAAGAATAACTTCACTTTGTCAGAAAAAAATGTAGCTAGGAGGATAATTCATGCATGTTATGTTCTCATCGTCAGTGCCCTGTGTAACCGTGAATTAATTTGCAGAAGGACACAATGGGAGATGACAATTGTTGCACCAAAATGACAAGTCTCTTTTTTCCAAGAAAAGAATGGCTCTTTACATAAAGCTGCCACTAAAATCCCTTTGGCTCAATACCAGACTTGGACGGGCTTGGGGTGGGAAGAAAGTTCACAGGTCAGGCCACTTGACTCTTCATCGGGTGCTTCATTTCCTCCCATGATGCTCCTGAGTGGGGGGTTAAGGGCCCCTAAATACCCTCAGGTCCACACGAGGGCACCATCTCCTCTTCTCTGGGGGTCTGACCCTAAAAGGATGCTCCTGGACAGTCTACAGCTCTGGTTCCTCTTCTCTAGAGCTGTCAGTCACTCTACATGTATAAGAATAACCCGACCCCGAGGCATCCTTGGTTTTTGTTATTATTTTTTGAGACTTTATTGGATCTATAATTATTCTAAAATGATTACTCCTCCAAATAACTCAAATCTCATATCTTTTTCAGCCCATATCACCAACAACACTGAAAGCTGATTATAATCAACTGTCTTTCACAGAAAGAAGGAACAAACCAAAAAAATAGATTTTAGGAGAATCCACTTGGCTAAAAGTATCTCCATCGAGCATCATGTTCCCAGCCAGTAGACAAGTGAGGGACACTTCTCTAGCAGTGCCCACCCTACCCTGGATGTTGGGCGGGCAGGCTTCAAACTGAGGAGCTGGAGAGTTCTTCTCCCCCATATTTCATGATGGGGAAAGAGAGGCCCAGGGCATCTCCTTCCCTTTGTCATTAAATGCTGTACCAGTTGCAGGCACTCTGCAGCTAGTTATGCACTGAGGATGCAGGATGCTGTGGTGCTCCCAGGTCTCTGAGCATGATGCTCAAGGCAATGCCTCCTGAGAGACCAGAGCAGGAAGAGACCTACTGTGTGTAGCCAAAGGTTGGCCTTAACAAAACTTGCACAAGGGACTCAAGGACCAGGCTCAGGTTTCTTTCTCTAGACTCTGCTCAAGCGCTCTCCTAGCGGACTACCTGCCCCTTCCTGTATGCCAGCATATCCTCCGTAAGTGACTCGGTTCCTGCACATGGCTCTCCCTTAGCTGTCCCCTCCTTCATGCTTGCTACAATTTGAGAACTCACGATCGCTGACTGTATTAACTTAATGGACTGCCATTATGTTGTCCACACAGTACTTCTGTCAGGTTTGGGCACCTGAAGGGAGAGAGTCTTTGGTTTTCTTTATCCAGTCCAGTTCATCTGGCACCAGGAGAGACCTAATGAAGAAATGAATCTTTCAGAGTCTAAATGGCTAGCAGGAGTTTGTCACACACAGGGGAAAGATTTCCAGGCATAGACACTACGTTTGAAGAAACCACTTGACGTCCTCAGAGCGACGGTTCAGACCACGGGGAGGGGTGTAGAGAGGAGGGGCTGTGGTCAGAGCTCAGGGATTAAGTTTGGGTCGCATGAGCACAAGCGGATGAGCTGTGTGGAGATGTGCGGGCATGAAAGGAGCTGTGTGGTAGGTACAGACAATGGGCAGAAAGGCTACTTCAGCCTCTGCCTGTGGGAGAGGCCTGAATGAGGGGCTCTGTGCCCTGAAGTCTCGATGAGAATACCCGAGAATTCCACAGGCCCTGAGGATTCTGTGAGGGCCTTGAAGTCTCCCCCAGTGTCCTGTGAATTCCAGGTTGGCCTTGAAGATTCTGCCAGGATCGAAAGAAAGGAAATAAAACATGAATTCATACTGGAAAGCTGAGGCAAAAGCAACAGAGTTCAGTGACCAGCCTGCGGTGTGGGAGAGGGAAGAGATCAATGCTGGCCATGAGAATAGCCAGACCAGGCATGCGACTAGAGCCAGAGACCACGACTGCAAGAGGGCAGTCCGCGGGGTGACATGATGTCACCACAGGAAACACCTTATGGAACTCCTCCTGAGTGATGAGCCTCCCTGGTCAGAAGTGGACGTGCTAGTGTTTACCCAAAGGTGATGAACTAAGCACAAGGAAGTCAGTCATGAAGGCAGGTGTGAATCTTGGGAAGCTGAGGCAGGGGGATTTAAAGTTTGAGGGTTGAATGGTGAGATCTTGTCTTAAAAAAGAAGAAGAAAGGAGAAGAGAAGTCTACCATGAAAACTAGAGAAGGCAAGGAGAAGGGGGGGGCAGAACTCAGGCGACGACCTGATGGGAAAGAAACAGCTTTAGGGAAGACACTTTCCTCTCTTAAAACTCATTTCTCAAGGAGCTGGCTAGAGACGAAACTTCCTCGAGACAACCAAATCCATGGCTCTCTTTGCTGAACTCAAGTAACACGCTTTCATGCTTTCATATTATTTCGATAAAGTGCCATTACCAGTCAGCTAGATAATGGCTTTACTCCACTCTGTAGGTCCCAATTACTGCAGACACAGTGGACATCAATCAGGTGGCTCCAAGGGGCCTTTCTATTGGTTGAGAAGCCACTTTTACTATCTTTTCACAGTACCGGAAGGTCCAGGAGCTGCTAGGAGCTACCCATCCCACAAACGGACACAGCAAAGCCTGACTACACCAAGGCCGATCTGTCTTCTAGCCCAGCATACTTGCTCTCCTCAACACTGTAAGACCAAAGCACCGTAGAGCAAACAATGGACAGGGTTGGCTCAGAACACCCTTCTCCACATAAAGAAACAGCAGAAGGATTTGTCCCAGCCCCAGCAATTATCCCAAGCACACAGGGTAAATTGTAGAAGGAATCAAAGCCGCCAGCTCACCCTCTTCCTCAGGTTGTAAGTGAGGATCAGGTTCCGGGAGAAGGAGTGGGAGAAGGCTGTGTAGAACTCTAGCACTTTCTGGAGGGCGTCCCTCTTGATCACATGGAGGTCACAGTAGGTCAAGGCCCTAACATTAGCACAGGACTGCGCAAGCGTGGCTTCCTTCCAGAACACATCTCCAAACACGTCTCCTTTCCCTGAAGAAAGAGAGTTGTCATGAGCAAAGGGTCAGTCAGGAAGGATCTGCAGTCACTGGCAGCCTGCAGGTTGGGCTCAGAGGGAGAAAAAAAAAAAAAAAAAAACACATGATATGAACCTTAGTAATATGTCATTCAAGAGTCTTTAAGACAGCACATAATTAATGATGATAATGTTACCCTTTTTCAGGATGATGCTGGTCACTCTAGAACGCTACCACGTGCCCCATTGTTTTTACTATACCCCATTTCCCCCATTGCACCACTTGTAGCCTGCAACTACTTTGTGGTTTGCTGTGTACCTTTGCATGTTGTGTACAAGAGCTGCATGCCCTATTTCCCCAAGAACACAATGCTTTATCTATTGTGTAGCAATTTCTTCTGAACTGGAATATTCCACCCTGGAGGAAAAGATCCTTAAGAATTGGGAAGTCTTAAAATAACTTACAAGTCCCAGGAAATCCCTGAAACATACAAGATTCACGAGGCCCCTCCCTTCTCAGAGTTATATAAGCAGTAAGGACTGTTCAGAAGAGGGGACTCTTCAGCCTGTAAGCTGCCTGAAAGTCAGGCAGAGAGCTGCAGGGTGGCCACTTTCATTAGTTGTCACCCATGCAGGAGTGGGCTTTAGTGTTATATCCACCTGCCTGCTATACATGTTTATATAAGTACTCTTCACTCATACTCTTGTGATACCTGCAACAAATTCACTTAACAGATTGGACATTGGAGGTATCATTACATTGGCCTGCCTCCAGTTCTTTCTCTGAGGTAAACAGACATCTATTCATGTCTCCCCAGAATGTCACACAACATAGTAGGAACATGGCTGGTACTGATAGGCAAAGAGGAGGTGAGAGCAGAAGTGGGCCATGAGTCTACATCTACAAGACCGTGAGATGAACATCTGTTCACCATGGTCTTCAGACGGGGAGTGTGTTTGTATGTGGGCTCTCACAGGAGCTGGAGGACTGGGGAGACTGCATCTAGAAGCAGTCAAGTGCGGGCTTCAGCCGCTCCCACGCTTGTCCCCGCCCTAAAGGTTTCAAGTATCCTACCTTCTCCACATACTCCTAAAATGTCTTCTTTACACTTGCATTTAGCATCTTTTGTCTCCAGCACCCTACAAATACATTCAGTGAATAAATGCATTATTGTAAAATGAATGTGCCTATCCCAAATCTGTATGTTGAAACAGGGTGCCTTTGGAATACACTGACATAGATAAGAGTTTATGACTTAGTCTCATGTCTGACCCTATGGTACCTTCATAAAAGGGCCCCAGAGAATTTTCTTATGCTATTTCTTACCTGTGAAGATACAATAAGAAGTGGACAGTCTGCAGCTAAAAAGACCCTCATAAGAACCTGGCCATGGTGGGCCTCTGAACTCCCAAAACTGTAAGAAAATTCTATTGCCTATATGCCAACCCTTCCTGTGGCATTTTGTCACAGCAGCCCCCAATAGGACACATGGTAACCTTCATCACTAGGTGTTTCTCCACATCCTCTAACTCAGAGATATTCTTTCATAACCACGAATGCTTTTAGCCCATGTCTACTGCAAAGCTGAATTTATTCCTGGTATAGTCTCTAGCTATGTGGCGTGATTGTTCATCTTGCTTGTAAGTTTTCAGGGCAGATAATCACAAATATGAGTTCCCAGGGAACCAGAGAGGAACATATAGGAAGAAGGAGAAATCCAGAAATGGTTGGCCAGGCTCCCTAGACCCAGACACCCCTGGTGCTCAACTAGATGCTGTTTTCCTGCCAAAGGCAAAGGAAACAGGTATAACTTGAGACACACGGTGGACTGACTTTTTCTCTAGTACCAAGTGTCTGTTTCAAGTCGATAAGATACTCCACAGTCTTCTCTAAGCACCTCTAAAATGTGAGTCAATACCTCCATCTCCTCCAAAACAAGTAAACTGTGCATGGCTTAGGGATGACTCTGTGTCTCTTGCTCCAATATGAAGGGGCGCATCCATTGCACAGAACATGGGCCGCCATGCTGCCATGCTGGGGAGGGACACACATGACGCAGATGCCCGGAGACAGCAGCATCTCGTACTGGTAAGCTTTCCACAGGGCTGGGACTCTTGGGTGTTATCATAGCACAGGTTAGACTTCCAATATGAAGTTCCAGGTAAACATAAGTGCTGTTTGGCTCTCCTTGCCAAGTTCTAATTTTCACTGCCTGTGATAAGGTGGCTAAGGCACAGGGAGGACCAATAGGTAGGAGCTTTGCTGTGGGGTGCTACCAGGCTGTCCTGGAAACAGACTTTCTTCATGGTGCTCTCCAGCACTGAACTCTGGGAACTGACCTGTAATCCTATGGCCTTCTCACACTGTCCACCATGACTCATGAGCCCTTCCCATCAATGTAAACTTGCTCTTGTAGAGAACATGCCTCCTTTGAAGAAACATGGCAAAGCTTTGGCCACCCATTCCTTCTGACAGTGTGGTTACAGCTGTAACTCACTTAGGTAGGTCAATCATGGCTGGACTTCGTCATTTAGTCAACACAGTCTGGTAGAAATGACGTTCTTAGATTTTGAGGCAAGGTCACAGGAAGCTGAAGACCCAGGTCTCTCAGAATATTCATTCTGGGAAGTCTCTATCTTGAAATCTGATCAGCCTGGGGGAGACTGAGCCACACAAGGGGTCACATGAGTGCTCTGGTTCCCTGTCCAGGCCTCTTCTGATAGCTACGGCCACCAGCTACATCAATCATCCTCTGGCTGGTCCAGCCCATTCAGGCCTTTGGGTGAGTACAGGCTTAGAGACCACCTATCTACAGCCAGCTAAGAAGCCTGCCATGAGACAAGAATGAGTGTCTTAACCAGAACATGTAAGGAGCCATGACCCAGCAGCAGACACATGAACACACAGATCATGGAGCTCTGGGCTGAGAAATGGCAGAACATCACCCCTCACCCCAGCTCTTGCTGGCACTCCCTGTGCCAAGAGAGGGTGATGATCCCCTTGAAAGAGCAGGCTTTCCCACCAGTGAGAAGCAAGGAGTGTCTCTAAGGGGCCGACTCTCCCAGCCACACGTTCTGAGCACTGGTGAGACAGACAGCATTATAAGCTCTGCAGTTCTTACTGGAGGAAACATGGTATAATTAAGCTGTAACTACTGAGTAGAAGCTGATTGGTAATTTTGTCTGTTTCTTATCAAGATTACCTCATTTAAACAAGACCCAATATAGAAGCATTATGCTCCTTTAATGAAATTGGGAGTCATTTTCTAATTATAGAAGAATCGGTAAAGTGAAATAATAGCTCCTCGTGTGCATTTAATAAATGAATGTAGCTGCACAGATTTCACTTGTGAACCCTCTCAAGGGGCGCATCCATTGCACAGAACATGGGCCGCCATGCTGCCATACTGGGGAGGGACACACATGAAGCAGATGCCCGGAGACGGCAGCATCTCGTACTGGTAAGCTTTCCACAGGGCTGGGACTCTTGGTGTTATCATAGCACAGGTTAGACTTCCAACCCAAGTTCAACCATGTCTTACCCGACTTCCTTTGGAGACAGCTGCTTGGGGTACGTGATCTGGGGGTGAGAGTTAAGCATGTGGTATACAGGACTCCTTGAATCCCAAACGAACCCCAGGCTACTCAAGCAAACGACAACTGTTTTTAAGAAACACGTGACCCATGAAAGCGGGAAGGAGCAAAGCGGGGCTTTTGCAGGCCTCATAGGTGTGACACAAGTGTCTGGAAAGGGACTTCCCAGGTCAGAGAGTGACAGAAGGAAGCCATGACAGATGACTGTACACATCCTTCCAGCTGTGAGTGTGACATGACCATCCACACTGGGCAGTCAAACCACTCAGCCAACCAGTTTACCAATCAGAGTGCAGTCTGGAACATTAAAAGCTTACCGTGACTGCCTAGGTAATCCCGTTCTGAGTAGCTGTTCTGAGCTGAGGGAGGGGAGGAGATGGGGAGGGATTGCAGGTTCTCTAATTAGAGCAAGCCAACAGCACTGAAGTAATGAGTCACCCTACATACCCCCTCAGTTACACTCCTCAGTTACATAGTCTCCCCTTTGGTCATGGTTGATATAACAGTCTGGTGGGGTGCCGGTGGGGGCTGAGGAACACTTGAACACATAGGTGAGGCAGAGCTCAGGGCTGAAATCCACAGGGACATTGCAGAGGAGGGATGGGGACTCTGCAGGCAGCCTGGTTCAGTGAAGGGTAGAGGCTTCTGTAATCAGTCTCCTCACCCTCAAAGGCCACACACCCATCTCATCACTGTCAACCATAAGCTCTCTGCTGATCAGTCTGAACCATACTCACCATTCCTCAACAAGCTATGACACTTTGTTTTGAATAAATTCATATGTGTCTTAATTCTTGTTCTTTTGTTTTTATTTTAATTGATTAATTAGTTTATCTTTTGTTTTTTCAAGACAGTATTTCTCTGTGTAACAGCTGTGGCTGTCCCAGAACTCTCTTTGTAGACAAGACTGGCCTTGAACTCCCAGAGATTGATCTGCCTCTGCTTCCTGAGTGTTGGGATTAAAGCTGTGCACCACCACTGCCCATCTTATCTTATTTTTTGAGACAGGATCCCTCTAAGTGACTCTGGCTAACTTAGAACTGGCTCTGTAGACCACGTTGCCTTCAAACTCACAGAGATCTACCTGTCTCTGCTTCCTAACGCTGGGATTAAAGGTGTGTGCTACAATGTACAGTTCTGGGATTTAAAAAAAAAAAAGTGATGTGTGTGTGTATGTGTATGTGTGTGAGTGTGTGTGTCTGTGTGAGTGTGAGTGTGTGTGTATGTGTGTGTCTGTATGTGTGTCTGTGTGTGTGTATGTGGTGTGTGTGTGGTGTGTGTATGTTTGTGTATGTGTGTGTGTATGTGTGTGCGTGTGTGGTGTGTGTGTGTGCGTGCATGCGTGCGTGCATGTGTGTATGTGTGTGTGTCTGTGTGTGTGTGTGTGTATATGTGTGTGTGTATATGTGTGTGTGTGGTGTGT